TGTTTCTACAGTAGCCCAGAGAGGACAAACCAAACAATGATTCTAGCATTACATGCCACTAAATCCCATGCACTGGTCTTTTAATGTAAATAATTAATACGTCAAGCATAAATTAACCAATTTGTTGTTAATGCACTCGAAAAAAAAACCAAAGTTGTCACCGATATTGTTATGAATCAAAATAATTTCCATCTAAGGAAGACAGCTTTCTTAAAGATCTCGACACCGTGGTGAGAAGATGAGATGATAGGCCTCAGGGCACAGACATGTAAACTGCCCACCTCATTGTTATTTTGTGTCTTTTTCAGCAATAATTTGCTGGTTAATCATAACTCTCCAGTGCTGCTGTTAGTTGAAAAATGACATTCTAATTGTGGAAATGAAGAGAGGCTGCCTTAACCCTTTCCACATATCATAAACAATAATATAGCATACCAAATTATTATACAACATTTTATAAAGAAACTGTTGATGCAGGTTATAGCAGAGTTTTTCTGTTGTTAAAAATATTTTAAATTGCAGGATCATGATCAGGATCAAGTGCCCCCTAGTTAGTGAGAAAGGCCACAAAAGGTGCCCTTATGGCAAATAAAACATGATAAAGGCCCATCTGCAGTAGCATGATGTAGCCTACAAGAAAATGCCCTTTATCCCTTCCAGTGGAGAAAACGTGCCCTCTCTAGGGTGCTCTTCTACTTGGAGAAAACATGATGAAGTGCTGTACTGACTAACCTGTATGCTAGAAAATAGTTTGTAACTGTTTTACCATAAAGGCACCATTGCTTTCTGCGTGCTGGTGACCCACTGCATGCAGCTGGTACCCTTTTCATGATTTTTCCCTGACACTGCCATACAATAATTGACTCTAGTGGTGAAAACCACTGGAATAACAGTCAAGTTTGAATGTATTACTTATCAAAAGCTCTGCTGTAATCTCAAAGTAACGCGTGGGCCTTTCACAATAAAACTTCTGATACTAGAACATTCAACTTTCAAAAAAAAAAACCATAAGGGACTTCCTGTTTGTCTGAAAAAGGCGGAGTTAACAGTCCGTGCTTCAGACTGACCAGAGACCGACGGACGGGTTCGTCTGTAGTACATTTTGCAGGTTACAATGCGAGACACTGCTCTTTCCCCACTCAGCTGACAATATGGATAACACACGGAGAGTTTGACCGCTTCAGTGACTCATCATTTTATAGAAATATACTGTCAGTGCTGCTCATACACTGACCGGCCGGCTGTACGTCAAGTTCCTCTGGGTTGTTTTTCGCTGTTCAGGCCGTTTCTAACACGGTAACTAACTTCTGCCTGGTTTTATCCCTCTTAATACTTTATATTCGCTAACAATGACCACTTTTATGCCTCCAAAAACCCCCTTCTTCTCCCACTTCCCCGTATAGACGACGGTTTAACCCAATTATGCTGCACTTAAACGCAACATCAGATCAGGCTCATGTGACAGTTACCGGACTCTCTGTCCTTACATCGACCCTTTCACTCCGCTGATACACTGAACACACAGTACAGTAACCCATGTAAACTGCTGTCCTGCTTCTTTTCTTTGTATGCTGTTGTGTCATGTAGTGTCTTTTGTGCTTATGTAACAGAGGGGGCCGCCTGTGAACGAGCGTCCACCATGGTGCAGGAATACCAGTCCCCCGTTCGGGTCTACAAGCATCCATTTGAGTTAATAATGGCGGTGAGTGTACATCCAGTGCCACTATATAGACGAGTGATGATCCGGAGTACTTTGCACGACCTTACATAAGCAAACAGGTGACTGAGGTGTATCTAGTAGGAAGATAAGATAAGATGTTCCTTTATTGATCCCCCTTTGGAGAAATTCAAGTTTGACACAGTAGCACAGGGAAATAGAGTAAAAATATAATAAAAGAATAATACAATAAAAGTGTGACTTTGACCCTTGTATCCCTTTAAACATATCCTACTATTGCTCTAATTAAAAAAAAGTATTATTTCATTTTAAATGTTATGTATACCTTACAAAATGTCTGTAGCCTCCCAGGGTCGTCTGTCTCGCTCTATGCTTAAAAATAAATGCTGTGTGATTAGTGACTGGGCAAAAATATTCTTATTTACCCTTCTCTCCTGAGGCTGTGTCAAACAAGGTAATCTGCAGGGTACACACTGCAAGAAAGCTGCTTAGTAAACTTTGCATTTCTTCCGCAGGTTCTTCCCACTGTGTTAAATGGCAGGCTTGTTGTTTTCACACCTTAAGCCTCTTGAACTGGCCTAAATGTTGGATATTAGATATTATTGAGGCTTCTGTAGCTCCTTAAAACTCATCTTGTGTTTTGCAATTGCTTGTTTTGTTTCCCTCATGATGTGACGCTTAAGAAGAGATGAAGAGGTCAGAAGGCGAGTTGCTGAGCGGGGCTCCACGATATGGCAAAAACATCATATTGCGATTACGTTGACAGATATTGTGATTACGATATGATTCACTATTAGTGACACAGTGATCACAAATTAAATTTTCACAGAAAAAAACTCTAAAAGTCATGATAATTTGGACACTTTGGCCGTCCGTACCAAACAAACACATTTTCTTACATCTCGAGAACTAGATTTGTAGACCAGGGCATCTCTGCAGTATTACAGTAATTTAGTTATTTGGTACAGAAAATGTTGATTACAAGCCCAAGGTGATTTCCTCAAATGTCAACCTTTTGTTCACACTGAAAGATATTCAGTTTACTGTCAAAGAGGATTAAAGAAACCAGAAAATATTCACATTGGAAAAGCTGAAATCAGTTTTTTCATTCTTAAAAAAACGACGAGCAAAATAGTTGTTTAATGTAAGAGTTAACAACGAATGGATTAATCGACTAACCGCTGCAGCTCTAGTTTTGTGTGATTGCTACAGTTTCAATAAGAAGCTGTTTGTAATACAATATACCTCGAATTTCAGGACTGACTGTTTTTCTGGCTTTATACATTTAATAATGCAGCAGTATTCAACAGCCATACTACGGAAACAGATCTCAATTTCTAAACATTTATTCACCATTTGATGAACTTGTTTTCCCTTGAAAGGAAAACATCTCCTTCCTATACTGATATATTGCTCTCCTCACCTGCAACCTACGCCTCAGTGCTTTAAATTAATGTAAGAACAGGGACTGTGTGTGAAGTGAAAGTAGGACAAAAGTAAAATAAGTGCCTTTCCATGAGAAGCAGTCTGTTTTTACCCACTTTCATAGTCTGTTTCTTGTTCTCTGCAGTTATATATTAAGCCAAAGACTTATGCAATATCCTCAGAGGGGGTAAAGCCTCTGATGCTGCAGTGACACTTTGCTCTGCAGACTATAACTCCTTCACCCAACCATCCAAGTCAACACGTACATAAGCTTTATTTCCCATGAAACAGCTCTCTCAAAAAAATCCTCTTGCATCACCACACGTTATTAGAAAGGATTTTAAAAATAGGCCTTTGTGAATAAGTAAATAACAGCCCTTATGAAAGGATGCAGGCCTCAGCAGCATAAAGGAGAGAATCTAGTGAATGGACTACCATCTCCTCTGCTCCCATTTATCTCTGGGCTGTCTCATTAGTCCCCTGGCTGATCTTGCCACTGACTTACTCCAGGTTATTACTCCATCTTTATCAGTGTCCTGGATATTACTGAATGTTTAAGGCATCATTGTTGTCCCTGTATGACTTTCCCGAGTCTTTATGTGATAAAAATGCACTAGATTTGTTTAGATATAGATACACTAAGCTCCCTGTACCGTACAGGGGAGACACCCAAAGAGCTGTGTGTAGTCAGTATCCCCTTAGGAGATAATACATGCTTTTTTTCTCCAGTCATTAGACAGCTATTGACTTGCTAATGTGAAATATGATGGTGGAAAATGTTTTCTGAAGTTAGACAAACTCTTCTGGGGCCAGTGACAGTTCTACTCAAACCCAGTCTGCTCGTCTTTTATCCTTTATGCTTATAGCCCTGAGAGGACTAGGTAGGACAAAGATTTACATTTGTCTGCAACCAGTGAGACATTTTGCGCATTTTCTGTTACATAACACTGGTCAATGCTTCTTATTTACCAAGGCAAGCTTTCCCATTCATTTGCTTAGTGAATAATGTCATCTTATTGATTTAGATTACTCATATGCTGTGCTGTATCAATACAAGCAGGATGCGTGCGTGTGTGTGTGTGTGTGTGTGTGTGTCTGTCTGTGTGCTTGCTGAAAAACCAGCAATTAGGTATGAACTAAAAAACGATTGAAAAGTCTTTTATTTTTTCCCCTTTACAGCATGTCTGTACCTGTGGTCTGTTTTTATAATATAGTCAGTTTGGCTCTTTAAATGTTTAAAATCTTTTGAGTTACTGCCTACATGTACCGGTTTAGGTTGATGCCACATAAGAGGACCTCAAGAGCATTAGCTTATTTCTACCCGTGGTGATCTCATTTATTATTTATTACATTAAACAGACAGCTGTCTATATAGTGATGGTCTAGTTCTGTACCTGCCTTTGGTTACTTTTCAATGGTATATCAGCTAAAACCACTCATTACACAGACTAAGGGCTTCTTTGTTTGCATATCCTGAAACTGCCAATCAGCAACTCAATATTGACAGGTGAGGCCTGGAGAAATTGGCTTGGACAGATGGTCATACAGTGAGCTGTGGGCAGTAAAACACAAAGCAATCACTGCTTGTAAAAGCTGCCACAGCTGCAGGCTGCTGCTGTGCAAAAAGCTTCTGATTTTAATATGCATATATATAGAGTGTTAAGCCCAATAACTATTAAATGTGTCCTAACCTTACAAAGAAATCATATGCTGTACTATTTAGTCAAACACGCTGTCATTACACCATAGTTTACTCTCACGGCAAATACAAGTGACCTTCTCATAATGGGTACAGCTTCTTGCCCGAACGGGGACCTGGACAAATGCAAACCCCGACAGGGACAGAATAAACAAGGCCAGGCATACCAGTAAATGCATAAATAATCATAAAAAGGGCAATACAACATCAGGACTAGAGAAAGGAAATTAATTTAATTCATTTTCTATTCCCCCTCTCAGGCCTATCACAGGAGGTTCCCGAAGTGCCCCCTGATCCCAGTGTTTGTGGACAGCGAGATCTTTAGCGAGAGCCAAAGCAAGGATGGATCCACGCTGGTAACTGAGAGGCGCTGCGTGATCGACATTGATGCCCCGCGGCTTCTTAAACGGGTACCTCTCATCTGACCTTGTGCTCAGCAAAAACCATATAACAATCATAATCAGTTTCTATAATCAGATGTACAAACTGCAATGTTTGTCAAGACTGTGTAAGAGAGAGGCAGCTTTAAATGCGGTATTTTCTGGCTGTGTTGCATTTGATTGCATGAATCTAAAAGATGTTTTTGATTTGACTTGTTGAAGTATTTTTGTGTAACCCCTCAGATCTTTGTTGTTTTTTTTCTGCATGCAGATTGCCGGTGTAGATTACTTGTACTTTATCCAAAAGAACACTCTGAATCGCAGAGACAGGACACTCCGCATTGAGGTCCACAACGAGACCTTTTCCAGCAGAGTCATTGTCCGCGAGTGCTGCAAGTACACGGTGAGCCAAGACAGACTCTATAAGAGATTTTTTTCTGTGCTGTTGTAGTTGTTTTATAATATATTATTAAGATCCCTACTGCTGCATGTGCATACCAGTAAAACTCTGGCTTTTCTATTCAGTGCATGAATTATTAAATGATCCTCTTATAGTGTGCCAAATGTGATAAAGACTTGTGTTAAGAGGTGGAGTTTGGCTCTGATATATATATAATTATATTATATATTAATCAGTGAGGAGCTGTAATGTGAACCAGACGCCGTTAGCGCTGTCATTAACAGATTCATTACTGTGTGTCGGTCCTCAGCCCTCGGAGCGGGTCCGGGTGGAGATCATGTCTCTGAGCTTGAAGCCGGAGTCTCGGGTGTCCCGGGACAGCAGCGTGGTCCGTCTGTTTGTGGAGTACTCGCTCCTGGATCTGCCCACAGAGGAGACCCCCCTGTCTCTACCCAAACCCCCCCAGGGCAAAAGCATCAACTTCAACTACAGCAAAGGTCCTGCTGAGTATTACATCATACAGTGTTTATTAATATATATATATGGTTCTGACTGTCTGTGGTTCTGACTGAGACAGACACCACAGTCAGAACGACGAACACGTCAGAACACAGTCAGAAACAGGCAGAAACCACAGTCAAACCACAGTCAGACAACAGACAGACAGAACAAGTCAGACCAGACAGTCAGAACACAGACAGACAGAACCACAACAGAACACAGACAGACACAGACGTCAGAACACAGACAGAAGAACAGAGACAGTTCAGACCACAGACAGTCAGAACCACGCAGTCGAACCAATCACGAACAACAGTCAAGAACCACAGGACGTCAGACCACAGACAAATCCACAGCAGTCAGAACACAGTCAGTCAGAACACAGACAGTCAGAACACATCGTAGAACCACAGTCAGAACCCAGACAGACCACAGAAGAACCACAGACAGTCAGAACACAAGACAGAACCACAGACAGAACACAGGCAGTCAGAACACAGACAGAACCACAGACAGGTCAGAACCACAGTCAGAACAACAGTCGAACACAGAACAGTTCAGAACACCGACAGCAGAAACACAGCAGACCACAGACAGTCAGAACACAGTCAGCAGAACCACAGACAGAACCAGACAGTCAGAACCACAAGCAGAACACAGAAGAACACAGAAGTCGACACAGTTCAGTCAGAACACAGAAGTCGAACACAGACGTCAGAACACAGTAGATACACAGACAGTCAGAACCGTCAGTCAGACACAGACAGGTCAGACCAGACAGGTCAGAACCAAGTCAGAACCACAGACAGTCAGAACCACAGTCAACCAAGACGTTGAAACCAGTCAGAAAAGCAGTCAGAACACAGCAGTTGAACCACAGACAGTCGAACACAGACAGTCAGAACCACAGAAGTTAGGACCAAGACCGGCAGAACCCAGACATCGACACAGTCAGTCAGAACCACAGACATTAGGAAACCACAGTAGAACCACAACAGTCGAACACAGACAGTCAGAACACATTCAGAACCAGTCAGAACACAGTCAGAACAACAGACAGTCAGAACCAGTCAGTCAGAAACCACAGCAGACCACAGCGTCAGAACA